GATGTAACAATCCAGCGGGATGGAATCTGGAGGAGATTCAGGAAATTTTTTCTCGAGGAAATATTGATTCTCTGCATAATCCATATGGAACTGAATCAAGAAATTGTGGCCGGAAATCTTTAGTTGCGTAGATGGGTTGGGCAAAGCGGAAGCTGAATCTTTTAGTTAATCACCTGGTTTAGAATTCTTTCAGAGCGCTTTGGATTGATCAGTTTAAGGATGTCTCGAATTCATCTCGTAATTGGAAGTTTCATTGTGTTGAGTTTAGGACCAGTCATTTCTCAAGGTAACCATACCCGCAGACCCACTGGAGAACAATGTAATCGAGAAGAGGAAAACGAAGGTTTCGGTTCGACTCGATTTCCCATCAATTAAACTTTCGAGTCGACCAAAAACCGCCGTTTTACTTTCCTTTCGCCCGATCATTTGTCCTTGGGTCTGCTGGATTATAATCACACGATAAGTAATCTGTATTACATACCAGTAATAGTCAAAAGGTAATGAAACTTTTTAAGCGTCTGAATGTGGATTTGTTTTTTTCTTAATTAACACATTTTAACTGGTACCGACACATATGTATGTATAAGGTTGTATTCAATGCTAATTAAAAAAACTAAGCAAATGATCACACGCTTAATCTATTTATTTATTTTTGATTTTCTACTTGCTTTTTTTGATGGTGATATAATATTTTTTACAAAATCTAAATCAGTGTGTTTACGATTAAAAAATAATTATATTTTTCAATATAAAGATATTGATTAAGGGTGATATTTCCATTTCCTCCTTAATTGACTGAAAGACTTTATCGGTAACAAATTGGGCTTCGATTTTGTACGTCAAAGGGACTTCAAGAGGTATTACATTCACGCAATCTTAAAATAAAAAGTAACCGATGATGTGTCGTATTGTATACCTTTAACAAAGATTGCACCGTGAGTATTGACACTGCTCAAGGTGACTAAGTTGTAAAATCACCAGTTGTAGACCAATTGCGAAAAGGAATATAGATAAGAAAAAAAGAAAGGTCTAACAAACCAATGAAAAAACAAGCAAACCAAAAAATCTCAAAGCATTCATTGCTATACGATGACTGATGACAGTTTTTAAGTAAGCATGTTTTAAGCCGTGATCTTTCTTGAACTTTGTGAGATAGACAAAAAGAGATGGATAATTTTAAGCCTCCATCAGTAAAGGAAAAAAAGACTATTGACCTGTCAAAAACGACATATCAAGTTGAAGAAAAAAATCTGAGTACCCCTCCACTATTCGTACTTTCGAGAAAAAGGAGATGAGGGGAATGAGGGGTGGGGGAAGGGGAGGGAATGGCTCTGATGTTGGGGTGGAAACCCAGGCCTTACAAGCCTATCCCTGTGTAAGAAAAACCCTTTCATGTCTTTAACCTTTTATTTTCTGCTTTCTTTGGTTCTTGAACAGAGTTGCGGAACCTAACTCAAATATACAACAACA